GTCACACCACTAGTGACAGTGGGCCCAGTACAGAGTTCTGCGTCACACCACTAGTGACAGTGGGCCCAGTACAGAGCTCTGCTCACACACCACTGGTGACAGTGCGTCACACCACTAGTGACAGTGGGCCCAGTACAGAGCTCTGCGTCACACTACTAGTGACAGTGGGGCCCAGTACAGAGCTCTGCGTCACACCACTAGTGACAGTGGGCCCAGTACAGAGCTCTACGTCACACCACTACAGTGGGCCCACAGAGCTCTGCGTCACTAGTGACAGTGGGCCCAGTACAGAGCTCTGCGTCACACCACTAGTGACAGTGGGCCCAGTACAGAGCTCTGCGTCACACCACTAGTGACAGAGTACAGAGTTCTGCGTCACACTACTAGTGACAGTGGGCCCAGTACAGAGCTCTGCGTCACACTACTAGTGACAGTGGGCCCAGTACAGAGCTCTACGTCACACCACTAGTGACAGTGGGCCCAGTACAGCGCTCTACGTCACACCACCACTAGTGACAGTGGGCCCAGTACAGAGCTCTGCGTCACACTACTAGTGACAGTGGGGCCCAGTACAGAGCTCTGTGTCACACTACTAGTGACAGTGGGCCCAGTACAGAGGTCTGCGTCACACTACTAGTGACAGTGGGCCCAGTACAGAGCTCTGCGTCACACCACTAGTGACAGTGGGCCCAGTACAGAGCTCTGCGTCACACCACTAGTGACAGTGGGCCCAGTACAGAGCTCTGCATCACACCACTAGTGACAGTGGGCCCAGTACAGAGCTCTGCGTCACACCACTAGTGACAGTAGGCCCAGTACATAGCTCTGCGTCACACCACTAGTGACAGTGGGCCCAGTACAGAGCTCTGCGTCACACCACTGGTGACAGTGGGGCCCAGTACAGAGCTCTGCGTCACACTACTAGTGACAGTGGGCCCCAGTACAGAGCTCTGCGTCACACTACTAGTGACAGTGGGGCCCAGTACAGAGCTCTGCGTCACACCACTAGTGACAGTGGGCCCCAGTACAGAGCTCTGCGTCACACCACTAGTGACAGTGGGCCCCAGTACAGAGCTCTGCGTCACACCACTAGTGACAGTGGGCCCAGTACAGAGCTCTGCGTCACACCATTAGTGACAACCCTCCAGTCTGCTTTCTTTCATTAACCTGACCCGCTGTTTTCTGTCTTTGAACCATGACCTGATCTAGCATGAATACTTCCTCCGATACCTTGTGCTCCGACCTTCCTCAGTAGCCTTAGAGTGGAACTGTGTTGAAGGAATTTCTGAGATCCAGGTGTGCATTATATTTACTATTAATATCAACGGCAGCCTTTACGCTTGAATAAGATAATAATTTTTTTTATTATTATTATTTTTTTTACATGCAAAGCATGCAATTTAAATACAATAAAAACAATACAGAATACAGAACAGAACAAAATAAAACAAGAGACCACCGGCCTAGAAGGGCCGACAACATAGCACAACAAAACACAAACACGATAAATGCATAGAAAAATACAGCATACATCAAGGCACAAAACATAATATAATGGCAAACTAGCAATCACAGTAACATCACAAAACTAAACCTTCATAAAACAAAACATACATCAAGAGGTATAACAGGAAACATAACAGGACAAACACAATACAGTCCAAACAAAACATAAAGAACAAACACGTACAACAGGTAAAGCAATATGAAAACGCCAGGTCAAACGTACAGCACAGAAACAATACAGGAATAAAAACACACACACACCAAACCATCCGCCCCATAAACAAAGGGCGAGGCCAAAATAAACAATAAAAATAAACAAGCAAAACACGCACACCTGAAAACAAAACAGGTACAAACACAACAACATACTTGCACTGGCCTGAAGGACCGAGAATAAAACACAACAGAAAGTACATCAAGAAACATAACAAGACACTTCAGCTAAAAACAAATTATTACAAATTTGTACAAAGACACCAAATACCGGCCAGAAGGGGCGACAACAAAAACACAACAATGAACAGAAACATAATGAAACACAGGAAAAAGAAACAACAATACCGGAAATACAAGAAATACAACAAAACAACGGTCATGAGAACAAACATAACACCGACCTGAAGGGCACACAATAGGTACAACACATTGCAAACAAACCACAGGTCTAAGCACACACCAAACACTCAGCAAGCACACAGACCACTCAAATTTCTCATACTTATCCGGCCACTCCGCCGCCGGGAATCGAACACAATACGCCTCCCAAAGTAACATGAAATCATCTGGAACAGATTCATTTTGAACCGTACAAGGATCAGGCATCAACTCCGGCACACCCACAATAAAACACCGAGCCCGCTGAACCCAGATGGAAGAAGGGCACCACGGAATAGGACGCACGCGGTCAACAATTTCAAACCGCAAAGGATGCTCATCATCATGCGCCACTCCGGAGGCCAAGACGAGAGGGAGAGGCTCCTTCCCACGAGGCCGGGCAATGGGCAGCGCACTGGGAGCCTCCTCGGCTGCCTCACAGGGCCCCGCGTCAACCACCGGACGTTGCACCTGCAGGGACCCCCCACGCTTGGCATCCTTCTTCAGCACCAGCTTGATGCCTCGGCTCGCACCAGAACCCTCACCACCCACGTCTGTAGGAGCAACCACCCCCCACTGCGGAGAACCTTCTGCAGGAGAAAGAACAGGAGGTAAATCAGACGCACAACCATCGTCAACAGCAGACACATGGACGTCAGCAACCACCAGCGACGTAGAGCGCAAAGCACCTGGAACCGCCACATCATCGCTCGAAGCTCCACCTGCGTCGAAGTCCTCCACATGAGCCCAAGCAGTAGAAAAACGCCTGGAACGCTTGGGCACTGGCCGCACATCCTCACAGCCGGAGGCGGACCCATAACCACGGGCCTCACAAACTGGGCGAACCGACGCCTGTCGCAGTACGGCAGCAGCCTCAACCACAGGGGGAACCGGCCGCACACTACAGGACGCTCCGCAGCCCCCCCCCCCCAACACCCATCACAGCCGTAACACCTGGCGAGGGTGCAGGACCAGGCGCATCAGCAGGAGACGAGGAAGATGAAGACGACTCGCAGAGACCATCCGGAAGACCCTCGGGAGCAACTGGCACAGCGAATTGACCAGCGACAGGAGCCACCGGAACACCCGGAGGAGAGACAACAACCACCGGGGGCATGTCGGGTGACACAGAGGGGACCGCATCAGCAGCGAACGGGACCTGCCCCTCTTCATCTCCAGAATCCATGCCCTGAGGGAGCGGCGGAAAATCCTTTTCCCGGAACAAGTTAACAGGTGCAGCAGAGGCCTCAGAGCACCCGGCAGCCTGATGCCCTAACTGGCTACATCAGAAACAGGTACGGGGCTGCCGGGCATAATACACCCGAACGTAGTAACCCAGCAGCTGGACAGAAGATGGGATATCCAACCGCAGGCGCATACCTAAGGTACGGATGTTCGTCTGCTTCCCAGCATACTTCCCCGAGGAAAGCGTGTTCACCCGCACACTGATGACTGCACCATACCTCCCTAAGAAGCGCCGGAGAAAGTCTTCAGGGAACTCCAGGGGCGCACCATGTACACTGACATAAGTCAGAGCACCACTGCGGTCCGAGACCGCAACAGAGCCGGCGCCATCCGGGAACTGCAACGAACGCCCTTCGTACCGACGGAGGAAGTCCCGATGCTCCTCCTCCCGCACGAACTTGATAATCACCTGGTGGGCCGTAACAAACTCAACTCCGTAGACAGCCTCCACCGGGACACGAAGCATGTCGCACATCACCAACTCAATGGCTGGATAACTAGCCTTACACGAGAACTCCAGTCCCACGGAATTCACAGCAGAACAGGAGGAATTGGAAGGCCCCCCATGACAGAAGTGCCACGTCAGCACGCAGCCAGGCAGGCAACAACACTGGGAGGGCAGTCATTGTCCTTCGACCTTCCTCAGTAGCCTTAGAGTGGAACTGTGTTGAAGGAATTTTTGTGTTGAGATCCAGATGTGCATTATATTTACTATTAATATCAACGGCAGCCTTTACGTTTGAATAAGATTGGTGAGGCAGGAACGACCATTTGTAAACTCGTGTTGGGAGTCTCCTATCAACCTTAACTTTAATAGATGCTTTACAGAATCTGCAAGTATCACTTACAGTGACTTTCCCACGATCGATGTCAAAATTTATTGGTCGTTAATTCGCAGCAAGAGTTGTCTCTCTCTCTCCTTGAATACTGTGGTCACGTTAATGCCTACGCTCTAAACGTTTGCTGTCGGGGTACAAGTGGGCTGGAAAGCCGGTTATTAACTTAAAATACCCTTGAAACCAAATACAATTGTGTGTGTATTTACTTTTTGTGTATTTATTATTTGTTCCTGCAGAATCGAGCTGTTAGCTCTTGAACCCCGCCTTTCTAACCAAACTATTTTTCCTCTATTATGTTTAATACATATATTTCTAACACACGCGCATACACACACACATCCCCAGGAAGCATCCCGTAGCAGCTGTCTAATTCCCAGGTAATTATTTACTTTTAGGTGAACAGAAGCATCAGGGTGAAAGAAACTGTGCCCGTTTGCTTGTGCCTCAGACGGGAAGCGAACCCGAGCCCTTAGGACTACGACCTCGGAGGGCTATCCACTCAACCGCGAGGCCCTCAAATGTACTCACCTAGTTGATGTTGTACTCACCTGGTTGTGCTTGCGGGGATTGAGCTTTGGTTCTCTAGTCCCGCCTCCCAACCGTTAATCTACTGGTGTTCAGATTCCTGAGCTTCTCGAGCTCTGTCATATCTACATTTGAAACTGTGTGTAGAGTCTGCCTCCACTTCATCACTTCCTCGTGAATTCCATTTACTAACTACTCTGTATTCTGTATTCCTCAGCCGTGTAATGCACGATAACAGCGAATAACGTCGATGTGTGCGTGTGTAAGAAAGTCAAGACAAGAGGCACTCACACATGATGTAGCACGCAAGACTGTCCTGATAAAACGGTACGACCATGTTGACGGCCAGGAGCAGGAACCCAACCAGGGAGGTCAACACGTAGCTCAACTGGAGCCGCCCAGCCAGCGTCTTCACCTGTAGGAGGAGAGGGAAGGTCAGGGAGCGCCAGGGTATGTAAGTAAGTAATTATCAAAAGAAGGCACCAAACCGGGAAGGCTATGTAGCACCATCAAATACGCAAAATAATCAGAGGGCGCTAAATATCACCAAGGATGCCAATACGAGAACAAAAACGCATAAGGCAAACGATATCAAAAGTATCCGAGTCACCAAGAATTCTATTGAGGGACAGGTGACCGCGAGGGGCGGTCGGAAAGCAAGACACACGCTCGTCCTGGAAGTCAGGACATTCAAGAAGGACATGCACGGCCGTAAGAGGGACAATGCATCTAGGACAATAAGGAGCAGGGCGGCACTCCATCAAGTGACCATGGGTTAAGCGAGTATGGCCAATACGCAACCTCGCCAGAGCTGTTTCCCACCGCCGGTTACGGTGGAAGGAGGACGGCCACGAGGAAACACAACATTTAAGAGCACGTAGTTTGTTACCAGTAACAGACAACCAAGAAGCCTGCCAACGGGTAAGGACGGAGGAATGGATAACCGGATAAAAGTCGGAATACGGAATACCTTTACAAGAGATGGGACAAGAGCGGACAGCTTCCTTGGCGGCAGCATCCGGACGCTCATTTAAAGACACACCAATATGGCTGGGAACCCAACAAAACTCAACCAACTTAAATTTACTGTGAACAAGAAACAGCCAATGCTGGATCTCGACAACTACTGGATGAACCGGATTAAAGGACCCAAGAGCCATGAGGGCACTACGAGAGTCAACAACAACTACAAAGGAAGACTGACAACGAGAAAGCAGGAGACGAAGAGCATGGAGAATAGCATAAAGCTCCGCTGTAAAGATGCTAGTCTCCGGAGTTAGGCGACACATATAAGTGCGATCAGGAAAAACAACAGAGTAGCCAACACCGTCCGCAGACTTAGACCCATCGGTGAAGACAGAAACGGAGCGGGAATGAGAAGAAAAGTGCTCAAGGAAAAGGCGTTTTAGAACCGTAGGAGGGGTAAAAGCTTTAGTGATACGGGTCAAGGATGTACAAAACCGCGGAAGAGGGACTCTCCACGGGGGCAAAGAAGGAACAATACGAGGAGAAACATTAGAAATACGAACGGAAAGAGAGTCCTGTAGGCGAGATAACCGGACAGAAAGAGGGAGGTGGTGAAGAGGAACAGGAACCGCAGGAGGGGTAAAAGTTAAAGCACGACAGAGGCGAGAGGAAGGATGTTGTAAGGACCGCGCAAGATAGCGAAGACAGTAGCGATCACGGCGGTCTTGGAGAGACAGGAAGCCATTGTCAACATACAAGCTAAGGACGGGAGTCGAACGAAAGGCACCAGAACTGAGGCGCAACCCAGTATGGTGCAAAGCATCAAGACGGCGAAGAGTAGAAGGAGAAGCAGACGAGTAAGCAGGGCAACCATAATCGAGCTTAGACAGGACGAGAGAGGAATGTAAAGCAAGGAGAGTGCGCCTATCTGCCCCCCAAGAAGTATGGGACAAGACCCGAAGGAGGGTAAGGGCCTTAGAGCACTCAACACGGAGGTAAGAGATATGGGGAGACCAAGACAAACGAGTGTCAAGGAATAACCCCAAAAGCTTCGCGGAATCTTTGTACTCAAGGGGATGACCATAAAGTGACAAAGAGGGACGAAGAACGACCCGTTTCCGCGTAAAAGTCATGGCACAAGTCTTAGAAGTAGAGAAATTGAAGCCATGATCGGTGGCCCAAGACGACACGGCATCAACTGCAAGTTGAAGCCGGCGCTGAAAGAGAGGCGAATCATCACCCTGACAGCAAAGGGTAAGATCATCGACATAGAGAGCGGAGAAGACACCTGAAGGAAGAGAGGAAAGAAGACCATTGAGGGCAACCAGAAAAAGAGTAGTGCTCAGAACACTACCCTGGGGCACACCTTCGTATTGCTGAAAAGAGGCAGAGAGAGCGGTACCAAGGCGCACCCGAAAGGAACGACGAGAGAGGAAGCTGCGGAGAAAGAGAGGGAGACGACCACGAAGGCCAAAAGAATGAAGTTGAGATAGAATATGATACCGCCAAGTGGTGTCGTAAGCCTTTTCCAGGTCAAAAAGGACGGCAACAACGGAGGTCTTCGCAGCAAAAGCAGTACGAATATAGACCTCCAAGTTCACCAGGACATCTGTCGTGCTGCGGCACTTGCGGAAACCAAATTGAGAAGGGGAGAGGAGGTGATGGTGTTCCAGGAACCACATCAGACGAACGTTAACCATACGTTCAAAGAGTTTGCAGACACAACTTGTGAGGGCAATAGGGCGAAAGTCCTTAGGGGAAGTACCCAGAGATCCCGGTTTGCGAACAGGGAGGACAACGGCATCGAGCCAGTCCTCAGGGACTGACGACGACTCCCAGATCCGATTATACAGACTCAGTAAATACTGACACGTGCACGGAGGGAGATGGCGAAGCATCTCATAATGAATACCATCGGAGCCCGCCGCCGTAGAACCGCAGAGGGCCAGGGCAGAATGAAGTTCAGAGAGAGAAGGGATCATTATAGGGAAGCTGAAGAAGAGTGCAGAAATCTAAAGGACGAGACTCAAGGACAGGTTTACGAAGAAGGAAAGATTGGGGAAGATGAAGACCAGAGCTAACAGAAGAAAAGTGGGAACCCAGTACGGAAGCGACCTGCAACGGGTCCGACACAAGAGTATCATAGAGGTGAAGGACCGGTGAAACATCGGGAACGAACTTACCCGCTATCTTGCGGATACGCTTCCAGATCTGGATCAGAGGGGTTTCTGACGTAATTGTTGAGACATAAGATGCCCAACATTCACGTTTACCCATACGGATGGCCCTACGGGCCACCGCACTCGCTTTCCGAAAGAAAAGAAAAGAATCGGTCGTCTGCCTACGGCGGTGCCTCTTCCAGGCTGCACGCTTACAACGGACAGCCCGAGCACAGTCCGCATTCCACCAGGGAACGCACTTCCGTGGACCCCGAGAGGAAGAGCGAGGAATAGAGCGGAGGGCAGCGTTGAAGACAGTGTCATGAAAAAGGAGGAGAGCGCGAGAGAGAGGCAGAAGGGAGAGGTCAGAGAGAGCAGCACTGAGGGTAAATAGGGTCCAGTCCGCCTTAGCAAACTGCCACCTAGGGAAAGAGAGGGAAGGGCGAAAAGAGAAAAAGGAAACAAGGATGGGGAAATGATCACTTCCATGGAGGTCATCAAGAACCTGCCACGTGAAATCTAAGTAAAGAGAAGAAGAGCAGAGAGAAAGATCAAGACAAGAAAGGGTGCGAGTCCGAGAGTCCAAATGAGTGGGCTCACCAGAATTCAGAAGAGACAGGGAAGAAGAGAGGAGAAACGGCTCAAGAAGGCGACCCCGGGTATTCGTCAGAACGTCACCCCAAAGAGAATGACGACAATTGAAGTCACCCAGCAGGAGCACAGGCTCCGGCAAGGAGTCTAGGTGTTTCAAATCAGGAAGAGAAAGCGGGACACTCGGGGGAAGATAAATGGAACAAACTGTGTACCATTTCCCCACAAAGATACGAGCAGCAGAACAATGGAGAGGTGAAGGAAAAAGTAAAGGAACAAAGGGAACATCAGCACGAATCAAGAGAGCAGAAGAATTAGAAGCCCCAGCAACGGCTGGGGGGGGGGGAGAGAAAGGAATAACCACGAAAACGACCAGGACGAGCACCAAGCATCGGCTCCTGGAGACAGACACAAAGGGGCGAAAACCGCGAAATCAGAAGTTGGAGTTCGAGGATATTGGCGTAATAACCTCGAACGTTCCATTGAAGAATGGACAACGACGAGAAGAGAAAGGACAAAAACAGAGAACAAGGAAGAAACAAAGGTGAAAGAGCAACAGAGCACGTTAAAGAATATCAGGGTCGGGATCAGGGTCAGCAAAGTCAGGGTTAGGGGGCATGGGTAAACTGAGAAAAGACGGAGGGAAGGAAACGGGAGAATAGATCAGAGGTGGGTGGGCGGGGTCCGGAGGAGGAGGAGGAGGAGGAAGAGGAGGAGACAACGGAGAGGAGCAGTCAAGGACAGTAACAGGAAGAGGGGGAGTAGAAAGAAGGGAGCGCACCCCAGCAAGAGCAGCAACCGAAAGGGAAGCAGGGGCCAAAGAAACCTCCATAGCAGGAACAGGGGGCGCAATCACTGAAACGGGAGGGGAAGGAGCAACAGAGCCAGAAGAAAGCGAAGCCTTCTTACCCGCCGGGGAGGAGGAAGGTGAGGAGCCAGGCTTACGCTTCTGACTTAAAGAGACTGGTGTCTCAGCAACTACGTACCGGGCAACGGATTCCAGTGTCTCAACAGGAGAAGTTGAACGAGAGCACACACGACGGCCGTTAGGAGAGCGATGGACATCCGCCTGCACCGACATGCGGCGGGGAGAGCTGATAGATGGAGGAAGAGGATGGGAAGGAGGATCGGAGGGGGACGAGGAAGAAAACACAGGAGACATGACAGACCGGGTAGAAAGAAGGAGAACCCCAGACAGAGGACCAGGAGGGGGACCCCTCGGGACAGAACACAAAGGAACAGAGGAGGAGGCAGTGGGCGTATCAGGGTCCAAGGCCCGGAAACGGTTGTGAGTCTGAGGAAGGGGGGAAGGACGAGGAGAGGAAGAGCGCAACACGCAAGCATAAGAGATGTTAGTATAAGGCGGGAGCCGGCGAACCTGGCGCCTCGCCTCAGGAAAAGATAAACGCTCCCGGTGCTTCAGGTTGAGGACGGCTGCCTCAAGCTTGTAATGGACACAGGCACGGGAGAAGGTAGGATGGGCCTCACCGCAGTTGAGGCAGCGAGCTTGGGGAGAAGTGCACTCCGACTTAGAGTGACCTTCACCTCTACACAAAGGACAGAGAGAGACAGTCCCAGAGCAGTGGAGGGCACCATGCCCAAACCTCCAGCACTTGTTACAAAGTCGAGGAGAAGGAATATACTCCTGGACAGAGCACCTGGCACCAGCAAGAATGACAGAGGATGGAAGGGTCCTACCATCAAAGGTGATCTTCACAACGCGAAGGGGTTGACGACGACGACCATGAGGGGGACGAGTAAACGAGTCAACCTGGAGGACAGAATGGCCTTGGGCATCAAGGATATGCCGAATATCATCGTGGCAATCCTGCAGATTCCGAATACCGGTTGCAACATGGGGTGGGAGGAGAATAGTGCCAACACTGGCATTCATCTGAACGTTCTTGGAGACCCGAACAGGGGTCTCGCCAAGGCAAGATAAGGCAGCCAAGCGGGAAGCTGCATCCTGAGAAGGAGCAGCAACGACACGTGTACCGAGACGAGTGGGGTTGAAAGTAACAGACGCATCCACGGAATCTACAAGATGCCGATGGAGGGAGAAATCGTCAGGAGGCGCAGAATCAAGAGGGAGGAGATCAAAGTATTTGGCCCATGAAGCAGGACCAAACAAGGAATGATACGCATCAGCACGGGAAGGAATCGAGCGAGTGCGGCTGGGGCGCGAACGGCGTTGAGAACCCCTAGAGAAAGAGGGGTCAAAAGGCGCAGTAGTCACAACGAGAGACTTAGCCGCACCAGGGGACGAAGTGGTCACCACTGGGGGCTGGAGGCTCGACCTAACCACAGAGGAGGGAGGGGAGCTGGGGGAAGAAGTCAGGACGGTCGAAGGAGGAGCAAGGTCGGGGCCCAACGCAGCGGGAGCTACAGAGCCTGGTCTTCCAATACAGGCCGACTCGGGGGCTTGGTCGCCCACCCCACGAGCCTGAGAGGGTACAACGGAAACATTCATCGACATAGAGATGAAGAGAAAGAAATTCATTCACGAATGTGCCCCCATACCCACCATGGAGCCGGGGGCGCCAGGGTAAGTTAGGTTAGGTTACCTAACTGTCAGCAGTCATTAGTGAAGGGATCTGGTGTAGGTATTAGTGTAACTACAACTGTAAGCAGTTACTGACACAAGGTGCACCAGGAGACTGGTGTTGGTATATGTTAACCTCCAAACTGTTAACATTTTTACATAGTCTTTCATGCCTACATTTAATAACGATTTGTTTTGAGTCTTACCACTGTATATTCTAGAGCAACACTCGCACATTATTTGTGATCTTAAGTCATTATTAACACGTTTTGCAAGTGTTTTTTGTGATTCAAAGTTTCAACAAATTGGCAGATCTCTGTAAACCTTTGATTCGCTAATGACGTCACTTAACTAATAGTCCAGACAGTCAGGCGTCTTTGGCAGTCAGGAGTGAGCAGTTATGTAATCAAATTTTGTTTCAGAAATGTTAGACGAAGGTGACCAGGTTAATGACGTGGAAGCAGCCAGCACATTAGAGAAGCTAAGAATGTCTTTATGAGGAAGACAGACGTTCATTTAGTAACAAGAGGAATGGGAGAAAGAAATACCACGTGGTGCTGAGGGATTATGTCCTCATTATCAATGTTTTTTTAATTTTTGTAAATGCATTTTTTTTTAAATGAAATGGGGGTTTCTTAGCTGCTGTTGATGATGACCGTCCGGTCGTGCTAAGCTTGTTGAAGGGTGATAAAGGGTTAGTTGAATTTCGAATTTTGTTTTAGAGTTTCAGGAGGAAGTTTTTTTTATATAAATTTGTAGACTTTTAACTGGAATGATATTTTAACAACTTTTGTAAACGACAGGCTATAGTTAACATTGTTACATGAACCATCAGTGCTTCTACTAAAAGCATTGTTAATAGGAGCACTGTTAAACCTGAACATCTATAGCGATCTCTGTATCATAAATAATATATACTAGACAAAGTTTATCATGAAAATCAATAATTTTTGTCATTGATTTTTAGAGATGCTGATAATAGCTGATGGGGGTAACATGACGCACCTTTCTGACGGAGTAGCCTTTGTTGACCTTCTGGGGGAGGAGGTACAAGGTGGTGGCCAGCAGGGCCACGCAGGACAAGGTCAGCAGCACCGCCTTCACCCACAAATTTTCGCGGTTCACGTCCAAGTCCTTGGACGACCTTACACACATCATCACCTTCAGATGTTGGACTGTAGCGTTTCCGAAGTATTCAAGGCAGTAATTCTCACGTTTGATAATTTTATTATTAAGGCGGCAGCCCGCGTCCATATTTACCAGCTGTAGCTCCTGGTTGTCCATCATCTCCCCATAGTCCTCGGAGGGCCTCCTGTCCATGTAGTAAAGATGGTAGCCGTTTTCAGTTTCACAAGTAGGGAAAGAGTTATCAGTCAGCTTTGTTAGGTTAGCTGCACTCAGCAGAGGGTCGTGCAGTAGTGAGAGTCCCAGACTGTCGGTGACGCAAGTATCAATCTCCATGTACTGGCCGCTGGGACAACACTTGCGTACGTTCCCCACCTCGGTGTAACACTCGATAGCAACTGTTACAGTGTGGTTGTCCGGGCCGCGATAATCATCTACACAGTACCGAATGGCAGATGAATTTTTTGCCTTTATGTCTACTTGGGGATATTGAGGCTTGCTCTTCCACCAGTGAATATTAGAGTCACTAACATTGATCAGCTTTTCAACGCAATGGCAATCATTGGTTCTAGCAGGAATACCAAATTTAGGTTCCATTTCTTCCAGCAACTGCAACATATATGGCGAGACATCTTCCCTCGAGGCACTAATGCAGCCAGACTTAGTGAGTATATGGCCGCGGGGACAGCATTTGTAGAAGGAGTCAACGGGACATAACGATGCCTCAGCCACCATCGCTGGAGTACCTTCTGCCCATGAATATTCAATACAGTAGAGTGAGCTCGGGTAACATTGCCCAGACTGACGTTCACACAGTTGGTTCGAGGAGTCGAGAAAGGCTTGGTAGCTGCTGACTCTTCGGGGCTCACCGTGCCTGCAAATGAGCTTCGAGGTGTTCCAGTGGATGGACGTCACTCCTGGGTAATTCCTTGTGAATTCTTGCACTAAATCATTATAGTCACTCACATTGGACGACCTCGGATGACAGTGTTTATCAGTAAGGTTGAAGTATTCGTTGAGGCCGCAACACTTCCTTGTGGAAACCTCAATGGGTCGTAATGGACAGAAAATTTTGCTAAGAATGCCAGAGGAAATATTCTCAGCACCTGGAGCTTCCATTTCCAAACAGTAGTGATATTGATCATAATTAAGTTTTGATTTAAGGTCTCTTAGGTAACCAAAAGGTAAGATGGAGTGAGACGTAAAGTCTATTGATTCAAGTGTTTTCTTATCACCAGGGTCATTGCATTGTCCCATTCTTAAAGGGACGATCCTCAGGTCGGTATTCACATTCTTCTCCAGCAGGCTACGCACCAGTATTGTGAACGCTGTATTGTCCTTCAGCGTTTCACGTCTACGAGTTCTAAAGTTAAAGAATTCATTGATACCGAAGCACTTCCTCACTGGCGTCTCCTCAGAAATGTCTTCAACAATGGTTGAATTTTCATGTTTCCGTGAGTTCGATTCCAGCATTGTCTTTTGACCATCAGACTGCAAGAGAAAGCTTTCTTTGTTCACTGGAACATCATCATGGAGTGGGACACGCCTGTATCTCTTTACTGTTACATTATTAGTACTTTTAGCAGGTACAGATTGTACTGGTTTCTGGGATCTATCATGAGCAGAATTACGCCTTAAGATGTTAGTGTTGGTGTTTCCGATCATGTGATCACTGTTCACTAGTTCTTCATCGTCTTGTGCGTGGCCTGCCAGAGTCATATTCTTTAACGGGTGTATATTTCTTAAAGTTCTGTTGATGCGAGTGTGCTTCTGATGGGGGTCTGAAGAGACGTTCAGTACACTTGTTCTCATCATAATATCATCCACTGTGTTATGGCTTGTCGCAACTGCCCGCACAACACTGTCTTCACTTACACCCATTATTGGCATGTTCAGTTGGGTGTTGTTCGCGAGTGCTTCATCAGCATCATGATCGTAGCGACTTGGCTCCTCTTGTGTAACGGGTGTCTTGATCTCCGAGTCTTTCACGAATATTACTGTATGATCGTCACCAACATCACTTCTCCCAGCCACTTTGAGGTGATTCAATGCGCCATGAGCACCTGCTGCATCTTCCTGAGAGACCGGGAGCTGAGAGACGCGCGGCGGCAGTGGTGTTGGTACAGAGTGGGTTGTCATGTCCGCGTGTAGACTCATCAGTGAGTTGCCAGCAGAACTGTGTGTAGGTTGGCTGCACCAACCCTCTGTCAGTAGCCAAAACATTATGAATATTGAGACACGTGTGGAAGGCGACATGGTGAAGAGCTGCCTGCCCGACACACACCGCCTGCGGAGAAGAAAATGACAGTTAGATTAGCAGTGAAATGAAAGTAACTTTACCACTTTGGGTGTCATTGCCCATGTTGAAATTAAATTTATAAAATAAATCCCTAAAACTCTTTATATACTTTGCCCATACAAATCAAATATATATATAACAGAAAATGATATTACGCTTAAATGTCTATAGGGGTAAACTACTGCAAACAGGATGGTATGGTGTCTACAACCTACTGTAGGATGGGAATCCTGTTGTTGTTGATTTAGGGGCGACGGCGATGTAGGATGGGTATAAGGTCCACTACCACCTGTTAAGTGGGTAAGGGGTCCATACCATTTGTAGGATGGGTTTGGGCCCAGAACTGCCCATAGGATGGGTATGGGGACCACTATCATCCAAAGGATGAGTATGGTGTCCACTACCGCCTACTGGATGGGTATATGGTCCACTACCACCCACAGGGTGAGTATGACGTTCACAACCGCCTGCAGGATGGGTTTGGGGACCACAATCATCAACAGGATGAGTATGGGGCCCACTACCCACTGGGTTGGTATATGTTCCACTTCCGCCCACAGGATGTGTGTAGCGTCCACTATACCGCCTACAAAATGGATATGGGGATCCACAATCACCCACAGGATGAAAATTGTGTCCACTACCGCCCACAGGATGAAAATTGTGTCCACTACCGCCCACAGGATGGGTATGCCTCCATTGCCGCCCACAGGATGAGTATAGGGTCCAGTACCGCCACTGGATGGGTAATGGTTAACTACAGCCTACAGGATGAGTATATCGTCTACTACCGCCCACAGGATGGGTATGGGGGTTAACTACCACCCCATAGGACGCGTATGGGGTCCACTACCGCCCACAGGGTGATTATTTGGTCCACTACCGCCCACAGGATAGGTATGGCGTCCACTGCCGCCCACATGATAAGTAAGATGTCCACTACCGCCCACAGGATAGGAATGGCGTCCACTGCCGCCCACATGATAAGTAAGATGTCCACTACCGCCCACAGGATGGGTATGTTATGTTATCCTAAGCATGTTTTATATCAATTTGACAGTTAATTTCAGTAACACGATCAACAACGCTCATTATTTTGTCATTAAAGTATTTATTTTGGAAACTGGTGTATTTTAGTTACCCTGATATAGAGCACAAATGTCATAGACTCATCCTGTGAGTGGTAGTTTATTGTGCACCCCATACTCATCCTGTGAGTCTTTGTTTACATGTACCCGGTAGGGAGCCGGTCGGTCGAGCGGACAGCACTGTGGACTTGTAATCCTGTGGTCTCGGGTTCGATCCCGGGCGCCGGCGAGAAACAATAGGCAGATTTTCTTTCACCCTATGCCGCTGTTACCTAGCAGTAAAATAGGTACCTGGGTGTTAGCCAGCTGTCACGGGCTGCTTCCTGGGGGTGGAGGTCTGGTCGAGGACCGGGCCGCGGGGACACTATAAAAAGCCCCGAAATCATCTCAAGATAACCTACCCCATACTCACCCTCTGCGTGGTAATGTATTGTGCAACCCATACTCATCTTCTTATCAGTAGTTTGTGAAATCCATACTCATCCTGTGAGTGGTATTTTATTGTGCACCTCCCACTCATCCTGTGAGTAACAGTACATTGTGGAACCCTCTCTCATCGTGTGAATCTTTGTTTACTGTGCGAAACGCCTTACTGTTACGAAACGCTGTGCATACTAGTGGCTTTACAAGAATGTAAACACATCATGCTATGTACTTTTATAAACCCAATGTAACTTCTTGTGTATATATATATATATATATATATATATATATATATATATATATATATATATATATATATATATGTCGTACCTAGTAGCCAGAACGCACTTCTCGGCCTACTATGCAAGGCCCGATTTGCCTAATAAGCCAAGTTTTCCTGAATTAATATATTTTCTCTAATTTTTTTCTTATGAAATGATAAAGCTACCCATTTCATTATGTATGAGGTCAATTTTTTTTAATGGGAGTTAAAATTAAGGTAGATATATGACCGAACCTAACCAACCCTACCTAACCTAACCTAACCTATCTCTATAGGTTAGGTTAGGTTAGGTAGCCGAAAAAGTTAGGTTAGGTTAGGTAGGTTAGGTAGTCGAAAAACAATTAATTCATGAAAACTTGGCTTATTAGGCAAATCGGGCCTTGCATAGTAGGCAGAGAAGTGCGTTCTGGCTACTAGGTACGACATATATATATATATATATATATATATATATATATATATATATATATATATATATAATGATATATACTGTCAAGCACACTATCATGGCAATATATGACGTGGGTGTGGATCACTAAATGCCTGGTACCTAAACAGAGGCTGGGAGAATGATAAAATTTCTCATATAACCATATATATCATAATCATATATCATCATATAAAAATGATATGTTTCTCTCCCATCCTTACCATTCCCAGCCCTACCCTCACTAATGATAGGGAGGGAGGGCATCTCTCCCTCCCTACCACTCTCTCTGCCTCCCTCCCTTATATTCCCTCTCTCTCTGCTCACCCATTCTCTCTGCATCTCCCTTATTCCCTTTCTTTACCTTGGTCCATTCCGTTCTCTCTCCCAGCAGGCAAAAGATATTCTAATAACATTCACTCAACGTTATCAAACGTTAAATCAACGGTATCGACGTCCAATGAACGTCATCGAGAAATGAGACATTGACCACTTCTCTGTTAACGTTCTCGTGCATCGTGACGTTGAGGGTTGATGGGAACTCGCTTCACATTTACCTCTGAGCGCATCAGGCATTAACATGCACACGGTGTAGCAGACAAGAGTCTCGGTGAATACCAGGTACCCGACACTCCCCCCCACTGGCAAAATGTTACTCGTGGTGGGATTTATCCCTTCCATTGGAGGATGACTTCCCTCCAGAGGACGCTTTCCTCTCCTATTGATCATCTTTTATTTTCCTATTAGATCACCCACCGTACTCAGTGGGTGATCTAATGTTTAGTCCAGAGGAACTGGCTTCGATTCCTTCTAGTCGAGTTTGACGAGTTTGTGCTGCTGGTCCAAGAATTTATATTTACCATTACTTCAATTGTTTCCAGGTTCTTTATTGTGAGTCGTGGATGTCCTCTTGCATTGTATCTTATCTTGAAGCTGATACGTCGGAGGTTCTCCACACAAGATATTCTGTGTACTTGTTGCATGTTTCCCTCTCAAGGTTCAAAGGAACTTGAACCTTGCGAAAGCTGTTTTTCCAGAGCGCTTGTAGTGTGGGGAAAGGGTGGTGGTGTAAGGGGGGAGGAAGGGTGGAAGTGTAGTGTGGACAAAGTGTGGCAGGGACGGGGAAAGCCAGAGACATATATAGTGAGAGAGATATAAGCGAGAGACAGCGAGGTTGCATATAAACACGAGTTCTTGTTGAATGTAATCAGGAACGGCACACTGCCTAGTATTCATGCGGGAGTTGCTATAATCCGGCGAGCCTTCCAGGTGAGTCTGCACGTGTTATCAACAACCTACTGCGACACCACATCTGCTACACGTCCTGGTTCAACTTTGACGACGAGCGGACGACTGGACTCCTCCTCCGTCTGGGAGCCGCCAGATCACCTTCTGTTTGCGCGTGTTTGGATTAAATATTCGTTTGACATTCTTATTACACGATCGGGATTGCTGCGACGCCTGGCGCACATATCGCCTTAAGTCACAGCAGAGTTGACAGTGACGGCGGACGCTGTGTCCGGCGCCGGCTTGGTAGAGAGGTGGGTCTTGGTGGGCTCCTGGTGTGCCCTCAGATGTGATGGGCTCCTGGTGTGCCCTCAGACGTGGTGGGTCTTGGTGGGCTCCTGGTGTGCCCTCAGATGTGGTGGGTCTTGGTGGGCTCCTGGTGTGCCCTCAGATGTGGTGGGTCTTGGTGGGCTCCTGGAGTGCCCTCAGACGTGGTGGGTCTTGGTGGGCTCCTGGTGTACCCTCAGACGTGGTGGGTCTTGGTGGGCTCCTGGTGTACCCTCAGACGTGGTGGGTCTTGGTGGGCTCCTGGTATGCCCTCAGACGTGGTGGGTCTTGGTGGGCTCCTGGTGTGCCCTCAGACGTGGTGGGTCTTGGTGGGCTCCTGGTGTGCCCTCAGACGTGGTGGGTCTTGGTGGGCTCCTGGTATCCCCTCAGACGTGGTGGGTCTTGGTGGGCACCTGGTGTGCCCTCAGACGTGGTGGGTCTTGGTGGGCTCCTGGTGTGCCCTCAGACGTGGTGGGTCTTGGTGGGCTCCTGGTGAGCCCTCAGACATGGTGGGTCTTGGTGGGCACCTAGAGTACCCTCAGACGTGGTGGGTCTTGGTGGGCTCCAGGTGTGCCCTCAGACGTGGTGGGTCTTGGTGGGCTCCAGGTGTGCCCTCAGACGTGGTGGGTCTTGGTGGGCTCCTGGTGTACCCTCAGACGTGGTGGGTCTTGGTGGGCTCCTGGTGTGCCCTCAGACGTGGTGGGTCTTAGTGGGCTCCAGGTGTGCCCTCAGACGTGGTGGGTCTTAGTGGGCTCCTGGAGTGCCCTCAGACGTGGTGGGTCTTAGTGGGCTCCAGGTGTGCCCTCAGACGTGGTGGGTCTTAGTGGGCTCCTGGTGTGCCCTCAGACGTGGTGGGTCTTAGTGGGCTCCTGGTGTGCCCTCAGACGTGGTGGGTCTTGGTGGGCTCCAGGTGTGCCCTCAGACGTGGTGGGTCTTAGTGGGCTCCTGGAGTGCCCTCAGACGTGGTGGGTCTTGGTGGGCTCCAGGTGTGCCCTCAGACGTGGTGGGTCTTAGTGGGCTCCTGGTGTGCCCTCAGACGTGGTGGGTCTTAGTGGGCTCCTGGTGTGCCCTCAGACGTGGTGGGTCTTAGTGGGCTCCTGGTGTGCCCTCAGACGTGGTGGGTCTTAGTGGGCTCCTGGTGTGCCCTCAGACGTGGTGGGTCTTAGTGGGCTCCTGGTGTGCCCTCAGACGTGGTGGGTCTTAGTGGGCTCCT